GTGTTAACATGTTTATCGAGCTTTCCGAACTGAGAGGTGGGGTGCCCCGGAATTGGCGATCGAGGCGAGACTCCGTAATTGGGCCCTGCCGCTACTGGCACGAACGCTACCGTTGGGTGGAGATGGAGGAGGCCTTCGACGACGCTGTTGGCGAATTCACGCCACCAGCAGTGCCCGATTTTACCTTTGAGGATCTCAGCATCTTCAAAAACCAAGTTAAGAAAGGTGAGAATGACAGTGTTTCTCTTACCAACTACTAAATATTGCCTTCTGGCTGCCACCTGCAGTCAAAGGCGTAAGGGGGGTCTGTTAGTTAGGTAATCTGTGCCAGAGTCATTGATGGCATCGGGAGGGATACGTGTTTGTAATGATTACTCTGGCACAAGCAAAGACCTCGCCTGTAAAGGTCTGCAGTACAGTATTCTGCTTACAGAGGAAGGTATATTTTAGGCGAATAGCTCGACAATGCTGCATAATATAAGTGTCGAAGGAAAAGGGGTATCCTCTCCTTAACCTTATTATTTATACCGAACATCAATGTCATGGCGTATATCGAAAGGTTGTGCTTTAACCAATGTGTGTAAACATAATATGAGTTGCTGGGCACTGGTCTGCCATTGTATGCTCTTATTGCAGCAGAATAAATGGGGACAAGGGGCTTTGAGCAAAAGAACTTGAGCTAATTTTCTGGAAAGGACCAAGCAAAGCTTGCTGCTAACTGTCGGCTAATAACCTCTCCCGGCGTTGCCTCGTCTACGCAACAATAAATAAACAACTAATTCTTTTAAAATACAATAAATGTTTGATATCTTGAAACAAAGACCGCATTACTTGTCGTGCAGCACTACCACTACCCAGGTCAACAAACACCTCTTTCCATTAAAATTTCCTTCTTTACGGATATATATCGTCTGTTAGGTACAGTAGACGAAGAAGCGGACTAATTCGCCATTTTCTCTACGTAATGATACACTTAGAAACGGAGGCAAGTTATTTGTGATAGTCACAAATCAACAAAAGTAAAAAAACTGCAAGTTTAGGAAACGTACCACATGGCTTAAGATTGTCCAAAAGTTTAAATCGTTCGACGGCAGGAAGCCCTGGTTTACCCCATTGTCGCTTGAAACAGGTCCAGAACTGACTAATCCCCTAATGCGTCTATAACGAAGCTTAATTTCGATGCACCTCTCTCTCCCTCCTTTGTCTTCTTACCCGCTATTTTCAGGAAAATTTCAAGCCGAAATTTTAAACTGTCGACTCCGACGGTGTCCGCCGCTTCTGCCTTCAGCTTGCTGACTTTCTAGTGTTACATCGGCAAAATATGCGCCTGGCTGCGTTCAGTATACTTCGAAATACCTTAAAGAGAAAATGAATCACAAAATCGTGTTAACCGTAATCAGTTTTGACTAAACAGTTATTACACTACGATGAAAAGACCGCGAAATTTCAGCAAACAAAATACAACAACCCATAGTTTCGTAGACAGCCATTACATCAACGGAAAAGTACATGTATTAGTGAAAAGCGCATAGATTTATAGATAGTAATGGGGGTATACACCACATTTCTGCTCCTAGCATTCAGTTCCGGCCGTACTTGAACAACAAAACAAAGAGCAAATAATTCCAAGGCATAGTGACTAACGTGTCATGTGCCCCCTGCGTATTTTCGCCCAGACATCATTATGCGCTAGTCCGATGTCTGATGAGGCGATTTTGCAGTGTTGAGAAACATTCCCAAGGTCATATTAAGAAGACATCGGCCCAATCTCAGTCGCATTTTTGATT